TAGGGTGGGGTGGGGGGCTGGGATTTGAACCCAGAGCCTGGGGTCTTCCTCTAGCCCAGCCCCAGGCTGATATTCTGAGTGCGTGACAAATACATTAATGCTGTCCCCTCTTACTCCCATTCCCTACTATTATTTTGTAACAGTTTTTTTACCCAACATTCTCTTTGTATTGTCTTAATTCTGGGCAGTTTAAGTGGATCTTGACCACCTCCCCAATTTTCCTCATTGGGTTCAAAGACCAACCCCTTGCCCAGCCCAGCCAGGGGCCCTGAGCTCTGGGGGTCCCCAGTGGTGATGCTGGAGGTTGGCTGTGAATAAAGGGGGCATTTTCCTCTTGGGCTTCCTGCCCTGGGGCCTGAGATGCCCTGAGGGGTTCGATGATAGGAGTGATAGAGACAGAGATGGTGGTGATGGTGGTGGTGAGTCAGACACAGGGACCCCTGTGGGCAGACATCAGACTGGGTCTGCCCCCTGGGAAACTTCCAGCTGGAAGTGCCTGAGTACCACTCCCACCAGCAGGGAGTGACGGACACCCTTACTCCTGTGAACGCTTACGTGCCAAAGCCAGCACCCATCTGCTTCCTGGTTGGCAAATCTGCACATCTGTTATCAATTGCTCCTGCCTTCCTGGGGCAGGGGCTGGACTAGGGGGTGAGTGCAGAGGCTGCAGATTGACTGGAGATGTCTGCCTTGGGCACTAACGATCTGGGTGCAGAGCATCTTCCAGCCCCCAGCACAGACAGGCCTCGGCTCCTCACCCTCCTGGCACGCTCAGCACCCCCCCACCCCCCATCGTTCTCTCTGTGTATCTCTGTCTCTCTCTTCTTCTCTTTTTCCAGCCGAATCCCTACCTCACCCACCCCCACCCTCACCCCTTCCCAATCTAGGAGGTTTGTACAGTAAACCCTGCATTTTGTGGAGCTTGATTTAACAGATTTGGGCTATAATGGACAAAATTTCTGGTCTGTATGTGAAAATTAATATCCTGCTAATTTTCAAATGCGTTTAACCAAAATTTACTTATAATTAGTCGAAACCGGTTTGGCTCAGTGGATAGAGCGTCGGCCTGCGGACTGAAAGGTCCCAGGTTCGATTCCGGTCAAGGGCGTGTCCCTGGGTTGCGGGCACATCCCCAGTAGGAGGTGTGCAGGAGGCAGCT